CTCCCCACCACCCCAGAAGTTTTTATTACTTCTCCACTGTAAATTAACCCCTGGCTTCCCATCTTCAAGTGGCATCTTGGTCGCCAAAGAAAGGCCCCATAATCCCCAGAGCTCTGTGTGGGGACTGTTCCTACATGTCCTCCCACTTCACAGTCTTTGCTCCCTTTTTGACTTCATCCCCCACTGTCCTTCCTGTCCCTCTTTGATCTGTCCCCCAACATCTGCTTCCCTGATCCACCTCAGGACCTTTGAGCTTGTTGTTCATGTGCCAGAAATCACTTCCCTCAGGCAGACACAACGGTTACCTCCAGTGGACTTAAATAGGGTCTTTTCTATGTGCGTGCTTTGAGACAGGGTCCCAATAGGTAGTTCAGACTTGCCTTGAACTCACTGTGTAGCTGTGGCTGGCCTTGAACTTGTGGTGATCCTCCTGCCTCAGCAATCCCAAGTACTGGGATTGTAAGTGTGTGGCACCACGCCAGACTCCAACTGTGGTTTTGATTCTTTTCATTTTATTTTGTTTTGGCGGAAATGGAAATTGAACTCAGACCCTTGCACTTGCCAGGCAAGTAAGTGCTTATTCTACTGAGCCATCTCCCCAGCCCCTCATTTTATTTTTTGAGGACAGGTTTTGCTATCTAATCCAGGCAGACCTTGAACTCAGTAAGCCTCCTGCCCCAGTCTCCTATACCTCAGCCAGTGCTGAGGTTGCAGGAGTGGCTACCACACCCCACTTGTTTTTCTTTTTTTGAGACACAGAGCTGTGCTCCAACTCATATAGTCAAGCAATTTTCCCATCTTGGGCTCGCCAGTAGCTGGCTTATAGAAACTTGTTTTACTTTTTTTTTGGTGGAACCGGGGATTGAACTCAGGCCCTTGCGCTTGCTAGGGAAGCACTTATTCCACTGAGCCATCTCCCCAGTCCTTACTTTTTAAATATATTATATATTTAGTGCATGGTAACAAGTCTGACTATGCAGATCAGACTTGTAATGATCCTCCTGTTTTTCAGCCTCCCAAGTGCTGGGATTACAGGTGTGCACCACCACACCCAATCTCAATCACTGTCTCAGTGTGCCCCAAGGACAGGCCCCACTAAGGCCTGGCATGGCAGGCTGAGGATCAAACCCCTGGCCCCTATGTGAGCCTAAATCTGCTGAGCTATCTGGCCAGACCTGTTTTGTTTTACTTAATTCCAAATTTTATGTGTCAATCCATTTGTGCTGCTATAACAAAATAACCTAAGAATGGGTAATTTATAAAGAACAGAAGGGTTGGCCTGATAGCTCAGTGGACTAAAGCGTCTGCTTAGGCAGAGTGCAGGGCCAGGGCCCCAGTGTGCTGTGCTGGCCTCGTCCCCAGGGCACCCTGAGACAAGGATTGAGGCTTGGCATGGTGATACATGCCTGTAATCCCAGCCCTTGGGAGGCTGTAAACAGGAGAATCACTGCGAGTCTGATCTATATAGTGAGACCCTGAACGCCATGTAGACCCTGTCCTAAATACAGAAATAAAATATATA